GGGCCCACCCTGCCAGCCCCCAGCCCCGCCCCGCCCCCACCTTTGGGATTTCCAGTGACCGATCCCTGGGAGATAGGACATGCGCGCAGGCCCCATGGCTGCTGAGGCACCCACAGCCAAGCAGGCGGGGCAGCCCAGAGCTCCTGGCCACACCCACCCCTGCTTTCTCTTCTCCCTGCCCTCCCCCCACCCCCACGGAGGACAGCGGCCCTGGCTCCAACCCCAGGACTGCTGAGCCACCGGAATGGAGCGGGCTGTGAGTCAGTCAGCAGGAAGGGACACTTACAGCCACTTGCATCAGATGTTCCTGCCGTGTGGCCCCACAGCCAGAAGCCCCAGCTCGTGACCCTCACTTCTCTGGGGAGCTCCTGGGGCTTGAGGTTCCTGTCCATGGAGGGCCAGACGTGTGGGAACATGCGGGGAGGGTACAGGCCTGGTGGGGCGCCAGCCCAGGACTCCCAACCCCACTTGTGCTCTATACCCACAGCCACCCTTGCTCCAAATGCCAATCCTGGTCCCAACAGCCTGATCCTGCTTAGAAGCTGCACTGGGACCCAGGTCCTCCCACCCCAGCTCAGGGCTTTAAGGCAGGCCTGTGCCCCGCTCTGAGTCAGGGGCCTGGCTCTGAGCAAAAGAGGGAGAGGCCCAGCCCTTTCCGCAAAGGCACTGGCTTGTGAGGATACTGCAGACATCCCAGCACCGTCCATACGGCCCCCAGCCCCACGCACGGGCCCCCACTGCTCTCTCTTATGTGTGCACACACCTCCACTCTGCTCCCACGCGTTCACAGACACACATGCACACCCAAATCTGCTCGTACTCGCACACACGCCAAACAGGTGCCTTGTGTTTTGTGTTTTTTTTTTTTTAAGATTTTTTATTTATTTATCTGACAGACAGACACAGCGAGAGAGGGAACACAAGCAGGGGGAGTGGGAGAGGGAGAAGCAGGCCTCCCGCGGAGCAGGGAGCCCGATGCGGGGCTCGATCCCAGGACCTCAGGATCATGAGCTGAGCCGAAGGCAGACGCTTAACGACTGAGCCACCCAGGCGCCCCTCGGTGCCTTGTTTTAAATGTTGGAGGAGAAAGGTCTCTACCATCACCCCCTGCTAAGGTTGTCAGGTAAAATATAGGACACCCAGTTACATTTGAATTTCAGATAAACAATGAATAACTGTTTGGGATATACTTATGCATTCACTGAAAAGTATTCCTTGTTTACCTGAGATTCAAATGTAATTTCGTGTTCTGTATTTTATTGGCTAAATCTGGGAGTATCTGCTGGGTTGTGGAGGCAGACCCTGAGCTTCCTGGGTTCCCCCAAACACTGCCCAGGAGGTGAACGCTGCACACCCAAGCCCCCCAGATCCCAGGGCTCTGGCCACTTAGCCAGGCCAAGGAGGGGGTGGTCAGAGGGGGCACCACCCATGACAGCCAGCTTGCCTCCTGGCTCAAAGGAGGCAGGGGGAAGCAGGGGCCCTAAGGGGGAAGTCAGGACCTGCCTCGTGTCTCCTCTGGGGTTTTGGGGAGTCCTGAGCCCTACCTGTCCTGCCCACCAGCTCTCTCTGTCCTTTGCCTTGGCTGGAACTGCACATTCCGCCCCCCCTCCCCAGCCCCGCAGTGATGGTCACCAGGAGCTGGGCAGGCGTGAGGAGCAGGGGCTAGGACCTAGTCTTCCTGCCTCACTTGCCTGGCAGACTACCTTCCAACCCCCGGGGCAGGTCAGAGGCAGGTGAGACCCCTGGGGGTCCATGGAGAGGTGGGCAGGGTGGCTGGCAGATACCTCTCGGTCCCCTTTCCCTCCCTGGGGAGGGCACCCAGCACCTCTGGGAGCTTGGCCTATAAACAGGGCCTTCCTGGAGGAAGAAGACTGGCTGTCTGGGTCTGCGGCTGGGGCTCAGGCCTGCGAGCCTGCAGGCTGGGCACAGAGGTCCCTCCACTCGCCCGTTCCCATTGGCAGCCCCCATCGCCCCCAGTGCAGGCCACACTGGGGTGGGCCTGGTTGCCTCTCCCTGGCCATCATAACTCAGGCACCCACAGGCACCTGTCCTGGGGTCATCCCCAGGGCTCAGACCTGGAGGCTCAGGCACCTCTGGGGGCATCTCTGACCTGACGTGCTCAGGGGATGTGTGTGGATGAAGTGAGCACCCCTCTACGTAGCCACGGACACACACACGTGCAAGCCCCTCAGGCTGTGCACAGAAGCCCGTCCCTGTGTGCACTCACACACGGCCCCCACCTGTGGGGAAGGACCCTGTGCGCACCATACCCCCCCAGCTCTCACAGAAGGGTGTGCTCCCCCGTGGTCCCCACCTTCTCACACGCAGGGCAGGGGATTACAGGACTTTGCTCCCTGGGTGGGCAGAAGCAGTGGGTATCATCCAAGGGGGAGCCTGCCCCCCACCCAGGGAACACTGGGTGAGGTGCGGAGACATTTGTGGTTGTTATGACTGGGGGTGCTACTGCATTGAGTAAGTGGGGGCCCTGGATGCTGCTCAGTGCCCCGCGTTGCCCAGGGCGGCCCCCACAGAGAGTGACCTGCCCGTGTGTCACTAGTGCTGAGGGGGGGCTGCTGGAAAGACCCCAGATGGGGGGCCGCCTCCCTGTTTTCCCACCTACGACATGGTGCCCAAAGAGGAACCAGCTGTTCCGGCTGTATGAGGGTGAGGTGGCTGTCTGACCTGTCACCAGACCTGGGAACAAATCTGTTCCCCTGCCCCCCACCCCCCACCGGCCGCGCTCCAGGATCAGCCCCCCGGACCTGAGCTTGGCTGCACTTGGGGAGATGGCCCGGGGGTGGCCTTCATTCTGTTCCCTGAGGTCAGTGTGAATGTCAGCCCCCACAGGTCCACACACGAGAGTGAACACGGCTAAACACCCACCCTGGGGTGTAGACCTGCTTTGCTGCTGTGGGTTGAATTGCGTTCCCTTGGAACCCATGAATGTGGCATCTGGAAATAGGGCCTCGTTAGGTGGAATTCGTTAAGATGAGGTTGTATGGGAGGGGTGATGCCAGAGATGCAGAGCAGACAGCCACCTGAAGGCGGGGGCAGGGGCCGGGGTGAGGCGTCTGCGGGCCTAGGGACTCCAGGACTGCCAGCCAGCTCCGGAAGCTGGGAGAAGCAGGAAGGCTCCTCCGCGGGAGCCTTCAGAGAGGGTGTGGCCCTGCCTAGACCTTGATTTCAGACTCCAGGTCTCCAGAACCTGAGAGCATAAATTTTTGTTGTTTGAAGCCTCCCAGTATGCGAGAAGCTAACACACTTACACAACCCCTGTACGCACACACACCCCCTTGCACACACGCTCAAACACATCTATTCTTCTCAGCAGTATTCAGGGGGCACGTCCTGCGTGCCAGGCCCTGTGCTGGGTGGGCTCTGGGCGGGCAGTGGACAGATCTGTGCTGTCATGAAGCTGAGCTTCCGAGGAGGGGAAGTGACCCATCTGTACTCACCTGAGCCCGGCAGGTGACAGGGAGGGCCCTGGCCTGGAGGCAGAGGTGGGAGGGGCAACCAGGAGAGGAGGGAGGGAGGGCGAGACTTCTCCTGGGCAGGCAGGTCTAACAGCCCCACCCCAGGCACCTGGAGCCAACGTGTATACACACACACACACACACACACACAGACACACACGGGATGGCGGAGGATGGGGGAAGTGCTTCCTGAAGTCAGGTGTGGCCTTGGCAAGCAGCACATAGAGGCTGCGCCACTAGAAGGGGACAATTCAGCTTCAGGTCAGCGGGGCCTGGTTGGGGGACAACTAGGTTTGGGTGGCAGGAAGTCTCTAGTAGGACAAGCTGAGGCCTGGAGGAGGAGGTCAGCCCACCCCACAGACTTGTACTTCCATGTGCCCAGGGTACGAAGTCAGGACTCTGCACCACAGTGCTTTGGGGACAGGGAACTGGTCCAGCCCAGGAAGGGCCGATTCTACCCAAACCTGGGTCAGGGCGGGGGTAGGGGGGCAACAAAAACAGAATGGTATTTTACCCCGTCCTGGCTGCTCCCACCCTTTGGACTCTTTCTTGGTCCCGGGTCCCTGCTCTCCCTGAAACATTCCTTTGCAGAACTGAGGGAAGGTCCTTCATAGATTTCAGTCCCCATCGCATACAGTGGTCCCCTTTCTCGGCCAACTACAGGGCAAACTCTTGGGGAGCTCCCTGGAGGCAGCTGGGTCTCAAAGCCTGTTGGGGTGCATCAGCAGGACAGCCGGAGCCAGGATCAGGGAGGTGCACCAGGAAGCCTTGGCAGGTTGTAGGATCAGTCAAGACAGAGCCACAGCAAGTTCTGGGATTGGGGAGCTGCCAAAAGGGAGCCATGTAGGTTCTAAGGAAGGGAAGTCACCCAAAGGAATCAGTGTATTCCAGGCCCTGGCCGGCATCCTGGGGGAACTGCCAGAGCGCAGGGCCCGGCGGTCTCCCAGGGCCTCAGGCAACCCCCCCAGCAACCGTCAGCAGCCCTCCCAGGTCTTTCTCCCGAAGCCCCGCGCACCTCACCGCGCAGGCGCGTGGACACCCCTCACGGCCCGAGTGCGCAGCCGCACTTGGCCCCGAGGGCCCTCCAGCCCAGCTCCCGCTGTGCGCGTGTGGGCGGGGCTGGCAGGGGCGGGGCATGCGTACGGGGCGGGGCGAAGCCTGGTCTATAAAGGCGGCGGCGGGGCGGCGCGCCCGGCTCCTCTCGGCGGCGGTGGCGGCGGCCCAGGCGGAGGAGTCCGCGGTGGTGGCGGCGGCGGCGGCGGCGGCGGCGCTGCTGTTCCCCGCGCGGTCCGCGCAGCGGGGTCCGGGCTGCGTGTCTCGGGCGGCGGCGGCGGCGGCGGCGGCGGCGGCGGCAGCACTGCGGCCCCGGCCCGAGCCCGACCCCGGTAAGTGCGGCCCGGCGACCCTGGCCCGGCCCCGACCCGGTCTCGGGGATCAGGCCCCGCGGAGCCTCGCCGGCCCGGGCTCCCGGCGCGCTGGCCACAGCCACTCACGCTCTCCTTTGTCTGCTCCCGCCTGCAGGGTCCCTTCCCCGGCCGCCCCCCGCCCACGGGCCGTCCTCCCGGGCCCGCCGTCCCCTCCCCCGCTGGCGGGGCCCGGACAGAAGATGGTGCAGAAGAAAACAGCCGAACTTCAGGGCTTCCACCGTTCGTTCAAGGTGAGGGCCGGGTGGGTTTGGGGTCGCCTGGGGCTGTACCACTCGAGTGGCCGGTGGGGGGCGCGTAGCCCACCCCCAGGATCCCCCCCCCCGGGGCTCGTGCCTGCCCCCCCACCCAGGGTATGGGGCTGCCCCAACCGGGTGTGCGCCGGGGGGGTGGTCAGTGGGCCACAGTCCAGGCCCCAGCGCCTTGGGGACTGTTGGGGTCTTTCCTCCAAGAACCCCAAGTGGGGCCGGGGGCAGCCTGTGGGGGCACCTAGCAGTGAGTCCCCTGCAAACCCCAGCTGGGTGTGCACTGCCAGGGAGCTCAGCAGGCCACAGCCTAGTCCTCAGCGCCCTGGGCCTGTGGGTCTGTGGGGTCTTTCCTCCAGGGATCCGAAGTAGGGCTGCAGGGCCCCAAAGCTCTCCTACGTGGTCTAAGGAACGGGGGAGTGGATTGGATGCCCCCCAGCCCTGCACCTCCCAGACACTCCAGGCCCAAGTGCTATTTCCTGTGGGAGCGGGAAGTTTCTGCGGTGGCCCCACGGCTGCAGCCAAGTCCGGGTCTCAGATGAGCGCGTCTGGGGCGGGGGGGGGCGGCAGGCAGGTGCTGGGCTGGGGCCCCACAGGGCTGGCTCAGGGGACGCAGTGATGTCAACGGCCGCCCCACCCCGCCAGCCGCGTTATGTAATGGCTTCCCTGGGCCTCCTTGGGCAGGGACCTGTTGCCCTGTAAAGAAGGCAGGACCTGCGTGTGTGTGTGTGTGCATGTGTGTGCGTGTGTGCAGGTGCGTGCATGGGCGCGCGCGTGTGTGTGTGTGTGTGTGTGTGTGTACACAGGCGCGCTGCGCACTGGGGTGGGAGGAGCAAGTTGAGACTGTTTGGGTTAGAATTCCCAGGCCTGTCCAGCCAGCATCTCGGGCCAGCGTGCCCCACCCCTGCCCACATGCCTGTCGTCCGTGCTTCCCCCCCACCCCCAGGGCAGCGACACCCTTGGCTCGTCCATGTGTCCGGGGCTGGGCTGAAGGGGGGGTGAACCTGAGACGTCACTGGCAGTGGTCTGTCCCCTCCTGGGGCTGGGCAGGAGCTGAGACAGGGTCAATGTGAGGGGCCAGCACGGCGGCCAAAGCAAACTCGAACTTTCTGGATGGTTCCAGCTGCCTCCTGCCAAGGCCTGCTGACTGGAGGCCTGAGGCCAGCCCCAGGCCCAGCCCGCCCACATTGCTTGGGACCAGAGGCTGCGCCCAGGTGGGACTCTGGGAGTGCTGAGTGGGTGGGAAGAACACTGGACAGGGAGCCTCGCCTCTGAGATGGCCCTTCGGGCCACTCTAGGACTCTCCTCGCACCACACTGACGTTGCTCCCTTGGGCTGGGGCCAGCTCCCTCCCCCCACCGTCCAGCAGCCGCACAGCGGGGACAGGCTTCTGCCAGGCATCTCCCAACACACTTTCCCCTTTGTAAGTGAGGAAATTGGAGGCACAGCCAGCACCGGGGTTTGCCCTATTCTCCCCTGCACGTGGTGCGGGGGCACGGGAGCTGGCTCTCCCCTGGGGGTGGCTTGGCCACCCTTTCTGCCTCCGAGTTGGAGGCCGGGACAGGCGTGTGGGGGTGGTGAGGGAACCCAGCAGGCTCCTTGGGGTCCTCGCGCCCTTCCTCCGTCAGACGAGCCGTGGGCAGCTTCCTCCCATGTCACCCACAGATGTCGGTCAGGCCTGGGGCTGAGGTCACCAGACCAAGGTGAGGTAGCTGGAAGGTGACATCGCTGGCTGCTGACTGGGAGCCTACCCTCCCTCATCATCAGCCCTTTATGTGGTTACCCTGGAGCCCCTTCTCCCAGGTGGAAGCAGTAACCTGGCGCCTCTGGAGGAGTCTTATCAGCCGGCTGTGTGCCTGACTCCCCCGGGGGCCGGACCCCTCAGCAGGCAGGGCGAGGGGCTGGGGGGTGAGCCCTGAGTAGGCTGGCTGGAGTACTCCCTTCTCCCCGCTGCCCTGCCCGGCCTGGGCCTCCTAGCAACTATCTGCAGGGTGGGTGAGGAGGCGGGGAGGGCCTGTGCATGTTTTCAGCCGCTCCCTCTGACCTCTGCCTGCCCCCCTCTGCTGCCGGCCTGGCTTCCAGGCCCCGTCTGTAGGAATCTGGCCCAGCTCCTTCGGCAGCGGGCCCCTCGGGGTCTCTCTAGGGCTTTCCTGGACTTCCTTCTCTGGATAACCCTCCAGCCAGAGCCTGGCCCCGGTTGTCCGGAGGCCCAGAGAGGGGCAGTGACTGGGCCCGGATCACCCAGCATCAGCAGCACCACTGTGCACACAGGCCGCCCACACCCACCCGAGGCCCTGGCCACCTAGTCTACTAGGGTTCGGGGAGTGAAATTAGAGCTAACTCCTGAGGGAACCTGGCTGGGCCCCAGCCTCAAAGGCCTCACACCTCATGCTGGGGGCCATCAGTCCTCACCCTGGACCATCTGCTCTGCAGAAAGTTCTTCCAGCAATCCTGTGGGGCATACGAAACAGTTTCTCCAACCCGCAGCCGCCTTCCTTCCCTAGTCAGGGTCTGGCGCCCTTCCCCCAGTCGTGGGGGCTGGCGGGTTGCCTCCAGCGGGCCCCTCTCTCCCAGGGCTGCTTTCTTAGCTGGGCGCGGGGGCCTGGAAGGGGCTTTGTCCTGGGGGTGAAACGGGACTGGGTAGGGCCAGGCAGAGGGCAGCCCGGTGTTTACGCTCTCCCGCCGGAGGCCTTGCAGGCCCATCTCATGAGCCTCCAGAGTCTGGGGGAGTGACACAGTCCAGTAACAGCGCGGCCACACAGGGAGCAGTCTATGGGCAGGAGGGCGGTGGCTCCCCATTTGACAGAGGGGAAACTGAGGCCAGAATGGCAAGGGCTTTTGCACAGTGGGAAAGCAGGCAGGGCCACCCCTGCTGGGAATCCCGCCTGGAGGCCGGTGACTCATCCCCTGGCACTGACCGCCCTGCTGCCTTTGATCCCCCGGCAGCCCAGAGGGCCAGGTGGGCTATGGAGGTTGACTCCATTCTGCAGGGTGAGCAACCAAGGTGTGAGGCATGGCCTGGCACCCGGTGACTCACGCAGGGCCCTCTGCCTGCTCACGGCCCCTCCCCGCACCGCATCCCCTTCCTGGACGCCCCAAGGGCCCTGGGCTTGTTGGGGGAGGGGGGAAGGTCCATTTCCTCACAGTCAGGCAAAGCCAGGCTTTGTTCCCCTTGACTTGTGGACACAGGGGGGGCTGGGCCACTCTCTGGGCGGGGCATGAGAGCGCTCTCCTTTCCTTTCCCTACAGGGGCAGAATCCTTTCGAGCTGGCCTTCTCCTTAGACCAGACCCATCACGGGGAGACTGACTTCAGCCTGGAGCGCCCTGCCCGCCCTGGTGAGGGCCTGAGCGGGAGGGGTGCTTCCCTGGCTGTGGGTGAGGGCCGTGGCCGGGGAGCCACAGGGGCCGGCTGCCTGCTGGGCAGCGTCGGCCTCACCTCCGGGTCTCCCAGTACAGATATGCCCACGAGCCAGCCCATCGACATCCCGGACGCCAAGAAGAGGGGCAAGAAGAAGAAGCGGTGCCGGGCCACCGATAGCTTCTCGGGCAGGTTTGAGGGTGAGTGGGCACCAGCAGGGGCAGGGGAGGGAGGGAGAGGGGGCCTGGCCTGGGGCAGCTCTCAACCACCCCCCTGCTCCATAGACGTCTACCAGCTCCAGGAGGATGTGCTCGGGGAGGGCGCCCATGCCCGTGTGCAGACCTGTGTCAACCTCATCACTAACCAGGAGTACGCTGTCAAGGTGAGCACCAGCGCCCAGACAGCCCTCCTCACCTCTCCCCGCAGCGCCTGGGATCCGGCACCAGCTGAGGGTGGCGGGAGGAGGGGAGCTGGCATCTGAGCCCCTGGACCAGCAGCTGGGGAAAACTAGTGTCTAAAAATGGCCCCAGGGCCAGTGACTCAGGCCACCCCTGGGAATCTAGGTCAGACTGGTCTGAGCCCCCGAGGCTGGGCAGGAAGTGACCACAAGGGGCAGCTCCCTACGCAGGTGGCTGAGGACCAGTGCGGCTGGGGGCTTCGGTCAGAGTTGGCTCTTGTCTGCTGGTTCACCTCGTGCCATTCCTCAGGAGTGGCAAGTGGTTCTCCATGTTGATCACAAGGATGGAAAGGCCACACTTTACTTGGGGTCTGAGGAGGCTTGGCATTTGGGGCGACTAGGGCAGGCTCGGAAGAACCTCTTGAGTGTTCCCGTGTAGCCCCTGACCCACAGTATGGCCAAGTGGTCTGGAGAACCTGTGTTTCTTGGCCAGGCAGTGTGACCCTGTGTTCTGGGAAATCTTCCAGTCCTCCCTGGCGATGCTACATCTGGGTGGGATGGGGTCCCAGGAGGCTGGCGGCCCAGGAACGAGGACCAGGTGCTCCCTGGTGAGCGGAGTGGGGCAATGGTGCGAGGGAATTGGATGCTTAGCCCCAGCACTTTCTGCACTGGGTGCTTTCCTCCTCAGGACCCTGCTGGGCAGCCTGGCTTCCTCACACTGTTGTGTGACCGCCCGTAAAGCCATCCCTCTCCCGAGGGACCACATTTTTCTCCATGAAGTAGGGGTCCTAGCCAGGTTGCCAAGAGCTACTCCAGCAGAGTGTGGCTGCTGGCATTGTGTCAGGAGGTCCTGAAATCTGCTTGTCCTGCCTCTCTGTGGCACTGGTGTTTGTCACCAGACAGGTGACACAGTGCGTAGGCTGGGCCCCGGCAGCAAGTGGACGTCATGCCTGCCTGCTGCAGGAACTAGCGGGGGGAACACACCGCATCCCCCTCCAGGCCAGTGCACTGGACAGGGAACCCCGGGCCAGGGGGTGACTAGCCTCCCTCACCGGCCCAGTGAGAGAGGGCCGAAGATCCAACCTGTCCAGAGAGAGCCAGCATGTACCTTCTGCCCCCACTTCTGGGAGCATAGGTGGCTGGGGGACCCTCCGGTCCTCAGAGCTCCTGGGTGCCCAAGGGGATTGAAGGCAGAAGCTGGCTTTCTGAGGCTGAGTCCCAGGAGACTCTGCCTGCTGGTTGGCAGGAGGCCCATCTGGATGGGCTGCGTGACCCCAGGCAGCTGCCCGGACGGTCATGAAACTGGAGAGGTAGGACTTGGCACTGAGGTAGGCGGGGGCGGTGTGTCTGGCATCCAGGCACCCCAAGGCCCCTCCAGTCCCCTGGGTGGTGTGGGAACCCGTGCAGTGGCCACCAGTCTCCTGGGCAGGGAGGAGAGGCTGCCCAGTCCCAGGGACCCTGACACCCCTGAAGGGGCATTTTGTAGGAGTCCCAGCCCACAGACATGCCCCTGAGGCCTGTGGGGTCGGGAATGGAGGAGGCCCAGCTCTCTCTCTGGCTTTCTGGCTTTCTGGCCCAGCCTGTCTCTCCCCTGGTGCCACTTTGGAAACATGTTGCACCTCCCCCCCCCCCCCAAGCTTGTGCTGACGCCATAGTTCTTGACTTCTGGCGAATTCTGGGCCCCAGGAGGAGAGCTCAGCTTCTTAGAACTTCAGATCTAAGCTCTAATGGGGTCTTAGGCATGGCACAGGGCAAATTTCTGGTAGGGGCCCCTTGGGCTTTGGAGGGTCTGGCTGACCTAGCTGCTCTGTCTCCTGCCCCACCCCCGTCTAGATCATCGAGAAGCAGCCGGGCCACATTCGGAGTCGGGTTTTCCGGGAGGTAGAGATGCTGTATCAGTGCCAGGGACACAGGTAATGTGACCCACCTCGCCACAGAACTGGGCCCTGAGCCATCTCTCTGTGGATGAATGGGCCTGAACAGCTCATCATCCCCAGCAAGCATTCCGGGAGCACCCAGTGTGTATCTCTGTGCAGGGTCTTCTGCGGTACACACCCAGTGTCACGCACGCAGTCCCCAGCAGGCAGGGTGGAGGCAGGCCCATGGCCCCGTTGCTAGCCTTCCTGTGGGCAGGTGGGGGTGGAAAGGGTGGGCCCCAGCTGGGCTGGGCGGTGGGTGCACAGGGTCCTCAGAAGCTTCCCTCCTCTCCTGCCTCTCCAACCCCCCATGCCCCAGGAATGTTCTGGAGCTGATAGAGTTCTTCGAGGAGGAGGATCGCTTCTACCTGGTGTTTGAGAAGATGCGGGGCGGTACGTGGGGCCTGGGAGCCACCTCCGGCTGCATCTTAATGGTTAATGGGCTGTGGTCCCGGCCACCAGGAGGGACTTTTCAGAGCTGCCCCTCCTGTGCATCGGGGGGTGGGGGGGTGGATTGTGGGGTCTGAACTTTCTGTCCAGGCTTTGAGCCCAAGGAGGCCAGAGTGGTCGTGTGCCTCTGGGGTGGAAGTGGGTACTACTGGGCGGTGGCCTGGAGACACACGGGTGACCTGTACACGTTCTCCCTCCCCCACGGCCTGGCCCCAGGCTCCATCCTGAGCCACATCCACAAGCGGCGGCACTTTAACGAGCTGGAGGCCAGCGTGGTCGTGCAGGACGTGGCCAGTGCCCTGGACTTCCTGCACAACAAAGGTGGGTGGTGGGGCCCGCGTGGCCCCCGGGGGTGTGCAGTCTTGCGCCCGCTCCACCTGCCCCAGACTCCCAGACAATGCCCCCACTCCCCCCAGTGACTCCTCTCCCCCCTGGTTCTCATCGCAGGCATCGCCCACAGGGACCTAAAGCCAGAAAACATCCTCTGCGAGCACCCCAACCAGGTGAGGGCGCCCGGGAGCGGCCTTCCCAGCGGCCGGGGCGGGGTTGGCCTGGACACCCGCCTCACCGCCTCTTCGCACCCCTCCCAGGTCTCCCCCGTCAAGATATGCGACTTCGACCTGGGCAGCGGCATCAAACTCAACGGGGACTGCTCCCCCATCTCCACTCCGGAGCTGCTCACCCCGGTGAGGCGCGCAGGCAGCGGGCACGCCCCGACCCGCTCCCGGGCTGCGGTTGCGTAACCTCGAGGTGCCGCCGGCCGAGCGCCGCCGAGCTGGGGCTTTTCGCTTAGCAACAGCCGCTGATTGGCCCCGCGGGGGGGGGGCGGGGCCGGCTCCTGGCCGCTGATTGGGTGGCTGGGCGGGGTGGGCACCTGCCACCTGTTGATTGGGTGGAGGGGCGGGGCTGGGCCCCTGGCCCGCCTCTGATTGGCCTGGCGGGGCGTTGGGCGCAGAGGCCCCGGTGACCCTGCCTTAGGGCCCTCACGTGACGCCGGGAAGTCCCGGCCTGGCCGCGCTGCCCTTCCCCCTCGGCGGGTTCCTGACGCCCGGTCCCCGCCCGCAGTGCGGCTCGGCGGAGTACATGGCCCCCGAGGTGGTGGAGGCCTTCAGTGAGGAAGCCAGCATCTACGACAAGCGCTGCGACCTCTGGAGCCTGGGCGTCATTCTCTACATCCTGCTCAGTGGCTACCCGCCCTTCGTGGGCCACTGCGGCAGCGACTGCGGCTGGGACCGCGGCGAGGCCTGCCCGGCCTGCCAGGTGCGCGCGTGTGCGCCGGCCCCCGCGGCCCCCCTGCGCCCCCTGCGCCCCGCGGGACCCCCACCCACCGCCCCACGCGCCCCGTGTGCCCCCTGCACCCCGCGGGACCCCCACCCACCGCCCCACGCGCCCCGTGCGCCCCCTGCACCCTGCGGGGACCCCCACCCCCCCACACACACACCACACACACCCCACTGGGACCCCCACCCACCCCCTGCACTCCATAGTTTCCCCCATGCCCTGCACCCCGCCATTATTCCCTGCACCCCATGGGGCCCTCCACCCCTGCCTTGATCACCGTCTCCAACACCCCACACGTCCACAGGGTAGTGCTGGCCTGCCCTCTTGGGGTTACACAGGCTTCTTCGTTCTGCGGCCTGAGAGAAAGCAGTTGGGAGGCAGGGAGCTGCCATGAGGAGAGACAGGGGTTCCAGCCTCGTGGCCTCTGCCCCACGGGAGCCTGGCTGCCCGTCAGACTGTCCCAGGCAGAGTTCACTGAGCACTTGGATGAGGCCAGCTCTCCACTGCAGCCTGCATCATTCCCAGCCATTTAGCCCCCCAGAGCGCACCCCCCCCCCGCCATCCTGCCGGCTGATCTCAGGGGCCTCTGCAGCCCCCAGTCCAGCCTGTTGTCAGTGGGGGGGTGGTGAAGGGGGTTGCAGTGTGTCCAGGTCATGGGTTAGACTGCATGGTTGGGTCCCGGGCCCCTGGCAGAGCTCGTTACTAAGCTGGCATGCCTGATTCTGGGTCCCGGCTGGCACATGTCTGTGTGGGGCTCAGTCGCCTGCAGCGGACCTTTCACCCCCTTACTCGTCTGCCCCGCAGAACATGCTGTTTGAGAGCATCCAGGAGGGCAAGTACGAGTTTCCTGAGAAGGATTGGGCCCACATCTCCTTTGCTGCCAAAGACCTCATTTCAAAGCTCCTTGTCCGCGACGCCAAGCAGAGGCTGAGCGCCGCCCAAGTTCTGCAGCACCCTTGGGTGCAGGGGGTGAGTGTGAGCTCCGCTAGGACCTTCTCCCTCCACACAGCCTCCGAGGGGCTAGGGGTGACTTGGAGCGGGTGAACGAGAGTCCTTGGGAAGGCCAGCAGCAGCTCCCCACCTGCCGCGTGGGTCTGGGGCTTAGGCCATCTGGGGGGGGCCACGGGCGTGGCGGGAAAGTCCACCCGCTGCTACCAGCTAGGGGTTGGGACTGCAGGCACTGCTGCTCAGTGAATTGCTCGGTTTTGTGCCCCAGAGGCGCTGGGGCCTCTTCCTGCCTGGCACACCTGCACAGGGCAGCAAGCCGCGGTCGTCCAGGTGTTGGGCAGGTCACAGACCCTCGGCAGAGCCTGCCAACCCCAGCCCAGCCCTCTGTCCCCACCCATCTGGGAAGAGCCTGCCATTTCTCTGGCCAGCGGTCACCCAAGCCAGGCTGCCAGCCCAGGGCAAGGAGGCCACAAGGGCAAGGGTCTTAACCAAAAATAGAAGTTGGCACTGGGCCGCCCCAGGGAGCGAAGGCAGGCCCTGATCTCAGGGCAAGCTGGTGGAGGGGCATCTGTGTCCTTCTGGAACGTCAGGAGATCCATGAGTAGACAAGGGAGGGGGCAGAGAGCAGGTGTAATGGACCACTGCCAGGCTTCCGCCACATCCTGCTCCCCCTGGCCTGACTCCGTTCTAGCAGGTACACCCCTTGACCCCTGGTCACAGCCAGCTGGGCCCTGGGAGGGCAGCGGGGCTCTGTGCTTCAGCCCTGCCCCTCCTGTCGCTTTACAGTGTGCTCCGGAGAACACACTACCCACGCCCATGGTCCTGCAGAGGTGAGGCCCGCGTGGGGGCATGGGGCCCAGAACAAGGACCCTGAGGTGGGGGGGCGGTTAACATTAGGTGTTTAAAAAAGACGAGAAACCTTCCTTAAATCATTGGGTTGGGGAGCCACCTAAGTGCTTGGGTTTTCTTGTACCAGTGATGGTGATAGATTGGGACCCCAGTGGGGATGGGGGGTCCTGGGGCCTGCAGCCCCTCCCCCAGGGTACTGCACGCCTCCCGGGGTCCCGAGGGGATCGGGGCATGCCTGGCGGCCCTCCTCCACCTTCTCCGTGACCGCCTCTCCCCAGGAACAGCTGTGCCAAAGAGCTCACGTCGTTTGCGGCTGAGGCCATCGCCATGAACCGGCAGCTGGCTCAGCGGGAGGAGGACGCAGCCGAGGAGGCGGAGCAGGGCCCGCCCGTGGTCATCCGAGCTACCTCACGCCGCCTGCAGCTGTCCCCTCCCTCTCAGAGCAAGCTGGCCCAGAGGCGGCAGCGGGCCAGCCTGTCTGCGGCCCCCGTGGTCCTGGTGGGAGACCACGCGTGACTCCTCGCTCCCTCTGTACATAGGTCACTCCTTCCCCTCCCCCCACCCCCCCAATCACATCTAAAGATTTTTTTAAGCTGTTGCCAGCCGGTGACCAGCAGGCTGCCCTCCCCTGGCTGGACTCCGAGGCGCTAAGCTCAGTTGGGGGGGGCTCTTTTTATATGAGGTTTTTGCTGTTGGGTTTTTTTCCTTTTTTCTGCCCTACCCCCATTTTTGTTCCCCTTTAAAGGTGTTAAAAGCAAAGCAGACGCCTGGGGAGGAGAGTGGAGGACACGTGTCGCTGGGCTTGCCCGGTCCCTGCCTCCCCAGCCCCAGATGCTCACCTGTACTGTGAAGGTCCCCCGCCCGCCCGCCCCGCCCCGATGTGACTCAGGAGAGGAGGCGTTTGTCGTCTTCCAGAGCTGGGGGCACAGGGACGCGCCCCCTCCCCAGCCTCACAGTATTTCAGGGACGGGCCAACCCCACACCTCCCCTCAGTGACACAGCAGCTCCTTCATCCCTCACCCGGGAGACACCCTGGTGGCTGGGTGGGGTGGGGCTTCTCAGGTCTCCCTTGTGGCAGGAGGGGTCCTGGGTGCAGGCAGCTGGACTCCCCCCCTCTGACTGACAATCGGGGCTCTCTCAAACCTTGACCTTAAGCTGCAGCTGACCCGGGGTGGGGGCTGCACCCACTGCCCCCTACCCTGCCCACCCAGGAGGGCGGTGCCAGAGGAAGTGGGAGGGGCTGGACAGGCGCCCGTCAGCCAACGTGGGGGTCCCAGAGACCCCCACCCCGGGCACCCGAGTGCCCCTTCTCAGGGCTCAGTCTGACCACGGCCACGTCCCGCCCCTTGTCACCCTTGGGGTCTGATGTGGAAGCTCTGTCAGCCCCCTTCCTCCTCAGAGCCCAGGCCCACCCAGGGGTCCTTCTGAAGCCCCCCACCCCCCAAGGGCAGCGTCTCGACTCTGCCCACCTTCAGGAAAATGGCCGCCGCTACCACGGCCTCCTTCCGGGCACCCAGGAATCGCCATGCCCGCCTCTGCCCACCTCGGCGCTGGGGTCACACGTCGAGGGGCCTGCCAGGCTTGGGGAGACCAATGCCCCTCCTCGTCCTCGGGTGGGAAACACTATGCAATACAGGCCCCCCCTTCTCCACGCACACGCGCTCCTGCCAGCCGGGGAGGGTCCCTGCGACCCCCGCCGAGGCAGCGTGGCCTGGGGTCTGGCCAGGTCTCCATGGTAGGCCAGGGCCTGGAAAGCCCTCTGGCTTCTAGTTGTTCGTCCTGTTTTGTTAATTTTTTAAAGACATCAGTTGACTTCCCTTCCCTGTTCTTGAATACTTGAATGTTGGGGGGCCTCATGGGTGGGGGGGCCCAGATGCTGTTTCTGTGGCAGTCTCTGGTGGCTGGTGGGGACTGACACCCCCTCCGGTCCCCCTGCCCGCCTGGATCTGTGGACTGGCCTTTCCAAAGACCCCGGGGGGGGTGGGGAGGCCGCCCCCACCCCCACTTCGTGCCCACCGGTGATCCTACGCGTTGCAACTGGGGATTCCGCCTTTTTGTAAAAAAGAAACAAACGGACCCCCGCCCGCCACAGGCGCCTTGGCCGTTTTACTCTGGAACGCAGAGCTGTGAGGAGCTTTTTTTTTTCCCCAAAGGTGGGACAGCCACTTCCTCCACCCGCCACATGTCACGTGGGCTGTGGGAGCTGGAGAGACTGTCGGAACCGTTACTGTGAATGAGCGCCTGGCTCCCAGGCCACCCGGCCCTGCGGGAGGGGAACGGCCACGTCTCAATGTTAAGATGTGTAAAAAAGACAAAAAAAAAAAAAAAAACTCAAGTTTTTTAAAAGTGGGGGGAAAACACCCAAGCACTTTAACTCCACCACACCAGGTGAATCGATACAGCTCATTTTCCTTACACCAACTGTCAATGCCGGAATTTTGTATTGTTTTGTAAGGATTTAATAAAAGTCATAAAAACTTGTGTGTTTTCGCCCTGGTTTTGTGTTTTGTAACAAGTGGCCCCAAACCAATCCTCGTCCCCAGTGACACCGTGAGTCCGGAGCGGGGACAGGCGCAGCGGGCTTGGCTTGCTGTCTGGGGGGCCTGGGCTCCCGGCTGGTGGGCTCGTGGCAACAGGGCTGGCCTGACCTTGGACGCTGCGCCATCACCTCCCCCAGCCAACGCCAGGCTCAGGGCCGCCCCAGATCCAAGCTCAGGGAGGAGGAAGGGAGCAGCTGCTGCTGACTTTGAACACTGCAACCCAACAAAACCTAGTCATTCACACCTCCCCCATGTGGCTGGCCCTCGGCCATCATTGAATCCTCACTCTGCAGACTTCTGTGGCCCCATAGCCCAGGGCTGACTTCCCATCCTGGTGGGGAGGGAGCGGATCAGGGAGGGCTTCCTGGAGGCAGGAGCCAGTGGGGTGGGAGAGGGGTGGTGAAGTCTGGGGGTTAAGGTGTCGGCCTGGCTGCTGTGTGTTTCAGCATCCTTATCGGACCAGCGGGGATCCGAGAGAGGCCAGGTGTGTGAGCAGGTGGCCGACCCACATTGGGCGCGGGCTTCCGGGGCGTCTGCGTGGGCTCAGGGTCTGTCCCTGGGGCAGAGCATCATGGGCTCCGGGTCTGTCCCCCGGGCGCTGCACCTCGCTCCTGCTCCTGGCCAAGGGACGCTCCCGTGCGTGGGGGACACGTGTGTATGTGTTTATCCGTCCACGGACACTTAGCTTGCTCCCCGTTTTTGGCCGTTGTGAGCTGTGCTGCCGTGAGCGCTGTTTCCGTTGTCCCTGCATGGATGGACAGGAACAGGGCACAGACCCGACTGGATGTCATTTCTGGGGGGACCATCTTGTCACCGTGTGGAGTGTGGACACAGCCCAAAGGGCCTGGTGAGCTCTTGGCAACTTGCAGCCAGCCCGGTGAGGGGTGACAGGCCAGGGCAGGGCGGTGGCCAGGAGGCCAGAGAGAGGACCAACGGCTGGCTGTCAGTGGGTGACCTGGGAGCGCCTGGAGTCAGCCTGGACGTGGGACTGGGAAGGGAGGGGTGCTTTCTGGGCTGGTGACAGGCCTCCCTGGACAGCCATAGGTGCTAGGATGTCCTGCGGCAGCAGGGGCCCGCAGGCCACCCCCGTCCTCCCTGGGAGCGCCAGGCTCAGCCCTGAGCACACCCTCCCCCCACCTGGCACCCTAAAGGAAAACCTGAGCACCCTTGAACCTGGCCCCCACCCTGCATTTGTCCAGCCGCCCCCTAGAGCCCTCCTCAGAGACCCCACAGTTACCCTGCCCCCTCCAGGACTCCCCCCCCCCCAGCCAAGTCCCCCTCTCTCAGTGCCTCTGGGCCCCTCCCCTGTCCCTTGCCCAGCCTGGTGTACGTGTGTGCGCGGAGGAGTGGGGGCCACACGCCAAGCTCCTGCCCTCCCAGGTGGCACCGAGCCCTGCCCTGGGCCCTGCCAGGCCTCGCCGCTGACCTCTCCCAGCCTCCTTCTGCCTGCCAGGGCCCAGCACCGGGCACACCTTGTTCTTGGAGTTGCGGTTTCTTCTCGGCCCATCCTGCCACTTCCACGTCTGTCTCCTCCAGGAGTGGCAAGAAAATCCTGGAGCGGGAGGAACTGGGAGCCTTTCCCAGGCTGGTGACGGGCTCCAGCTGGGTCAACGGAGAGGTTGGTTTGGGGCTCACCAGCTGCCCTGCAGCCGCCTGGCCTTGCGCATCCTGGGACCAGACCAAGATGGGGGTGTGCTCCCCTTGACAGGCAGGGCCACAAGTTGATGTTCAGTGCTAATGATGGGGAAATGGGCAGGCCTATGGGAACAGTATCATCTTCACAATTCTTTCTGTAAAGCTAAAACTTTAAAAAAAAAAAATAGTGTTTAAAAAAATAAAAAATAATAAAAGGAGGGGTGCCTGGGTGGTGCTGTCGGTTGAGCATCTGACTCTTGACTTCGGCTCAGGTGCTGATCTCAGGGCTGTGGGATCGAGCCCCACATCCGGCTCTGTGCCCAGCGGGGCGTCTGCTTGAGATTCTCTTTCGTCCTCTGCCCCTCCCCCCATGCTCACGCGTGCTTTCTCTCTCTCTCTCTCTCTCTCTCTCTCTCTCTCAAATAAGTAAATAAATAAAGTAGAAGCGCATCCACAGCCAGGCAGGGGCTCTGTGGGTGTCAGAGACTGGGATGGGACGTGATGGCTGATGGGGACGGGAGTGCTTCCCCTGGGGTGATGGAACTTTTTGGAATTAGACGGCTGTGATGGTTACACAGCACAGTGAATACATGCCACTGATTTGTTCTGTGAACTGCGGCCTTGATTAAAGTTAAAAGATGACCAGAGCGAGGGGCGCCTGGGTGGCTCAGTCGTTAAGCATCTGCCTTCGGCTCAGGTCATGATCCCAGGGTCCTGGGATCGAGCCCCGCATCGGGCTCCCTGCTCCGCGGGAAGCCTGCTTCTCCCTCTCCCGCTCCCCCTGCTTGTGGTCCCTCTCTCGCTGTGTCTCTCTCTGTCAAGTAAATAAACAAAATCTTTAAAAAAAAAAAAAAAAAAAGATGACCAGAGCAAGTCTGTGTAGGATGTGCTCAGTGTTCAATAAACGCATCAAGGACTAATTTATCACCCAAGGGGTCAGGTGAGACCGCACAGACGTCTCCCCCCAGAGCTGGGGTCTTCTGCAGGTTTTGCTCCTATCTCGGTCACCTAATCCCATGGGCCACCCCAGCTCGACGCCCTCCTTAATCGTCCTGTCTCCAGAGGGAACCCTTGCCTGTCCCAGTGTCAGACTCACCCATGAGGGAAGAGTGACAGAAGCAAGACAAACGTGAGGAAGAAGGGTGCCGTTGGCCTTGTCCATTCCCGACCTGGGGCTGCATTCATACCTCTGTCAATGGGCATTTCCCTCTTCCCCACACAGGGTTTGGGATTTGTGGCAACCTCAGGAAGATGCTTCAGGATTTCTGTCCTGTCCATCATTTCCCCCCTGGAGACTCAGTTTCCCCATGTGGAATGTGGCAGTAACCGCTCCAGCTGCCCCCGAACTCCGTTTCCCTTTTGTGACCCCCTGTGAGGCAGCAGCAGGCTGGGACACCGAGGAGGGGGGACAGGGTGCTTGCCCAGCTCAGGTCGCAGAGTCCCAGAGACATGGGAGGAGCTTGGCGCGGCCAGCATCGTATCAGCTCGTGCAAGGTGGCACCTGAAGGTACCGGGGCCACATAAGCTTGTGACCCAAGGTAATTAGCTCAGTGACTCAGCCCTGCCCAGTCTCTGGTCCCACAACGTTCCTTCACTTGAGCCTGGTGCCAGGCACGCAGCGGCGAGAAATGGGCTCGTGGCCGCTGCCGATGGGAGAGCCAGGACCGAGGAGGGGGGAGCGCGGGCCTCTCCGGGGCACGGAATCTGAGGGGCTCCAAACAGTGGGTCCCTGGGACACTCCCTTGTGCTGGGAACCTTTGCAGGACAGTTGCAGATTCGCCCAGTCTCCCCGGGGGGGTAACATTTTGCAAAACTGTTACAACGTCACAACCAGGACACCGGCTTTGCTACAGTGCAGCCCCGTGGAGAGTGGGGTAGGGGTCATAGGACCAGGAGAGGGGCCTCCCTGTCTTCCACAGCTTTTCCCTTCACTGGGGCAGTTC